CTCATACAAGACCCTGTGAGAGTATATTGTAAGTGGAAAGCAGATGTTAGAATCATATGACAAGAGATACGAGATAATTCATATCGTTGGAAGCTAGGAATGGAGGAAAGGTTACACTAGGAGATAATACCAATAGGAAAGTGGTAGATACATGCTTAATTGGAAACTTGAATAATTTTTTCATTGAGAATGTTTTATTTGTAGAAGGCTTAAACCATAATCTGTTGAGTATTAGTCAACTATGTGATAAGGGTTATATTATAAAAAAATTCTCTCTACCTGCATAATAAGCCCAAATGGAATTGCTTTTTGAATGGAATAAGGGTAAATAATGTATACATGCTTAATTTGAAGTGTATTAAATATCCTAATGATTTTTGTTTAAAAATATTTTTGATGAATCATGGCTATGGCATAGGATACTTTGTCATGCTACCATGAAAAATATTAGGAAAATTATCCAAAAAGAACTATTTAGAGGAATACCTAAACTAGACTTTACTAAAGATCACATGTGTGATGCATGTTAAATAGGAAAATAGGTGAAGTTCTCCTTTTATTTCATTAAGGATCTTAAAACTAGCAAACCATTGGAGATTATTCAAATGAATCATTTTGGACAAGTTAACACTATATATCTAAAAGGTAAAGTATTTGGATTTATAATTGTTAATGATTTTTCTAGATTTACTTGGGTTAAATTTTTATTTCATAAGGGTGAATCATTTGAGAAAATTAAAAATTTTAGCACTTGGATTCAGAAGAAATTAGGGTGCAAAATCTTATCAATTCAACGTGATCATGGAGGTGAATTTGAAAATGAAAATTTTGAAGAATTTTTTAAAGAGAAAGGAAATGATCACACTTTTTCAGCACCTAGGACCCCTCAGAAGAATGGGGTATTAGAAAGGAAGAACAGAACCTTAATTTAAGTAGCTAGAGCCATGTTGGTAGAATATTTACTTCTAAAATATTTTTAGGCTGAAGTGGTCAGTGCTACATGTTATGTTCTAAATTTGGTGAACATCATATCAAAATTGAATAAGACACCCTATGAACTTCTTAAGGGTTGAACACCAAATTTGTCACATTTGCATATTTTTTGATATAAGGTGTTCATACATAATAATGAAAAAACTTCTTTAGGAAAATTTGATCCAAAATCTGATAAAAGAATTTTTCTTGGATACTCTAGTATTGGAAAATCTTATAGAGTTTTTAACAAGAGAACTTTGGTAGTTGAGGAGATCACACATATTATTTTTTATGAATTTGATATTTTAGAAGAGCCAAGTTTGGACGAGGATCATATTAAAAATAACTTCAAAGGAATTGAAAAGATGAATTTGGAAGAAATTATGAAAAAATACCCATTGCCTAGAGAATGGAAATTTTCTAAGAATCACCCTAAAGAATTTATTATAGGTGAACATAGTGAGGGAGTTAGGACTATAAAAGGACATAATGAAGAGGTGAATCATTCTACTTTTATATCAATGGTTGAACTCATAAATATAACTCAAGCACTTTCAGATGAATTTTGGATTTTGGTCATACAAGAAGAATTGAATCAATTTATAAGAAATGATGTTTAGGAATTAACTGAAAGGCCTATAGATTAAAGTGTTTGAACTATGAGGGTGTTAAAAAATTAAATGAATGATTCAGGAGTTATGATAAGAAATAAGGCAAGATTGGTAGCTAAGGGTTACAATCAAATAAAAGGATTAATTTTGAAGAGATTTTTGTCCTTGTAGCAGGACTCGAAGTAATTAGGTTTTGATAGCCTTTGCCTATTTTAAAGAATTTAAATTGTATCAAATAGATATCAAAAGTGCCTTTTTGGAATGGGGTGATGCAAGAGGTTTTTTAAGTTGAACAACCTCTAGGTTTTGAAAATTCTAATATCCTTATTCACGTGTTTAAATAAAAAAATGCATTATATGGACTGAAAGAGATAGCTAGAGCTTTATATGAGATGTTAAGCACTTTCCTATTAGAGAGATCTTACGTGAAAGGTAGTATAGACACCACTCTCTTTTTGAATAAAATATGAGATGATATACTTATTGTACATATATATATTGATGACATCATATTTAGATCTATAAATAAAAAATTTTGTCATGATTTCTCAAAAATAATGAGTAATGAATATGATATTAAGTTTGACGGGAAATTTGAGTTATTTTTTTAGTTTTAGCATTAAGTTAAATGAGAATAAAACTTTTTTTATTAGTCTAAGTATATTAAGGACATCCTCAATAAATATGAAATGGACAATACTAAACATGTAACTACACCAATGAGTTCCTTAGTATAGTTGAATAAGGACCCTAAGGAAAAATCTGTTGATAAAAAGAAATTAGAGGGAATATTAGAACATTGCTTTACTTGACAACTAGAAGACCAGATATAATGTTCAGTATTTATTTGTGTGCTATATTAGTTTCTAATAAAAAAGAATCGTATTTGATAGCAGTAAAAATAATTATGAGATATCTTTTTGGGACTCAAAATTTAGGGATTTGTTATCCTAAGCACAGCTCTTCATTTGAAATTTTTGGATATTCTGATTCAGGCTTTATAGGTTATAGAGCTAATTAGAAAAGTACATCTGGGACTTGTAAATTCATAAGAAACTCTTTAGTTTCTTAGTCTAGTAGGAAATAGATTTATGTAGCTCTATTTACTACTGAAGCAGAATACATTTCCTTAGGTAGTTGTGTGGAACAAGTTATTTAGTTCAAATAATAATTTATTAATTTAAGATTTTTAATTGGCATAATTCCAATCTTTTATGATAATACTAGTATCATTTGCAATTTAATTAATCCTATTCAACATTCTAGAATGCAAATAGACATAAGTCATCACTTCATTAGACATTATATAGCTAAGGGAGAGATTGAATTGAATCATGTTACTACAAAAAATCAACTTGTAGATATTTTCATGAAACCACTAACTTTTGACATATTTAGTACCTTAAGAACCAAGCTAACTTTGATTGATCTTAATGCTTAAACTAAAATTTCAACAAACTTTAAGTGTTATATATATATGTGTCTATTTAGTTTTTCTTTGGTGGTTTGTTTTGTTTAATGTTGTGTGTTTAGTTGTGTATTTCCTTATTTTTATTATTGCGTGTTAAAAAAATAAAAAAAATAAAGAAAAGGAAATTATTTGTTTTTTATACTTTTTATTTCTAATATTTATGCTTTATTTTTAAGTGTTTTATTTGTACTGTATAATTTTTTTTTATCTTGTACAATTTCTATAGCATGTGCATGGTAGGTTTCAGAGTTTAGTATGTAGAACTAGGTTTTTCATAGGGGTTTATACTATACGATGACATCATCATTCCATATAATTTGTATAAATTTATCTATACGCATGGGGATGGTTTTACCAGTTAGGATCAGTAATTTATTGCTAATCGTATGTACAAAATCATATTTTCTTGTAAAATCCAGATGTCAGTTTCTATGGGGGACAACCCTAATCATCTTAAAAATTATCATTAATATTTTGATCATCCCAAACAAACACTTATTTGTATGTACAATCGTGTGGAAAAAAAGCTTGTACAAAAGGATGCCTTAGAAATGGCATTTTATGAAAAGCTGTTTTTCATTTTTATCCATTTTTATTCATATGTACAAAAATACTTTCAGCATGTATGATTTTAAAATCGTACGTACGATCCCATTTTCGTACAGTACGATTATTTATTTTTCTTTAAATATAAGGGTCTTTGAAATCATTTTATTCACTTTGATATCCATTTTAAATCCTTCTAGAGCCCTCATCTTAGAAATGGCTCGTTCTAGCAAACAAACTCGTGGTTCTAGGGATGCTTCTTATAGACTTCTCATTCAAGATGATCTTTACTTTTCTGTCATGCCTATGTTTGCCTCGACTCAACTTTATTTCATTCTCACTCTCATTTAATCCTAACACAAATAAACCTTTTAATATTTCTTGGTCAATATGTGATTTAATGAGGAACACTCTAGGATAACTTCTTATGTGCAGAAACATCATGGAAATAACCAAGGAATATTTAAGTAACTTTCTTTATCCAAGAACCTAGAGGATTTGAGCCCACACTTTGACCTCTAAGGCCGACTTTGAATGGTCTAAAATTAATAAATTTCTCAGAGGTGTCTCCCAAGTTAGTCTTTTGGCTCGAGTGTATACTTTGAATAAAAATATTCAGATCATGTAGCATTTTTATGAACTTTGATTATTCTTAAAGCTGGTGATTGAGTAAATATGACTCTACTCTTGTCCACAGCGACCTACATGATTATGAGTAAAAAAGCCGTATGATAAAGCCCAACGCATTAAGGACTACATGTACAACCTTTTTGAAATTGGACTTCAACACTATAAGAGGAAGAAAAACATGGCTTTACAACATCTAGTTGCCTAAAAAGTATATTCTTATTCATCATGATCCTCCCACTCAACTACCAATCTACTTCATTGATGCCACTTTTTGGGCACTTTTTCGGAGAGATCAGAATTTTTATAGTGATGATTCTAAGGGATAACGGGGAGCTCCTGCACCTACTCCAGCACCTAGATAAGGACCCAACAAAAACTATTTTCAAGAAATGGTCCAGCAGTCTGATCATTTGGAGACTCACTTTGATCAACACTTTGATCAAATTGAGACTCATTTAGATTAGTAAGATGCGATATATCAAGAAGATATGGGTTGTATCCATGGTCAATTTATTACGGTCAATACTAATATATCTATGATGAATAGCTACATTTCAATGTTCAACAACCCTCCTCCAGAGAGAAAAAGTTTCAAATTTCATTTTCCTGGCTCTATAGTCGGTGATCCACTGGACAGAATAACTATGGAGGTAGATGTTCATTGATCGTCGATGGATATTTTGAACCATAGGGATGTAAGTACCAGCCCGACGAGGGAATTTGATGATGGAATAGTTCTTGAAGAACCACCAATTTCAAGATGACCAATGGATGCAGAGGATGCTCGGAAAAGGCAATCAAGAGGTATGCTAGTGATAAATAAAAATATTGCTAATGTTTCCAACATCTTCAAATAGGTAGAAGGTAAAGGGAAAATGATTGATTCAAATTCTGATATCAATACGCCCTGCAAAGGTGAATAGCCATGAGCTGGAGGCATCTTCTTCAGGAATGATCATTTTTGTTCAAAGATTTGGAAATTCAATTGCTATCCCTGATAGTTGTGTGATAAATGAGAATATCCAGAATTCAGAAAATAAAGAGGTTATTCCGAAATCATACAGACAGGCAATCCAAACGGAAGTGGTTTAAGATCAGCATAAGGAGACAGTTGCGAACCAGATTATTGATCATATGACTGAGAAGATCATAGCTAAATCGGCAACTGACAACATATGATATAAAAAACCATATATCAAATTAAACTTCAGTGAAGATGAATCAATGTTATCAGCAGACGGGAAAGCAGTGCTTCTAAGCAAGGAAGCCGAAGTCAAGAATGCAAAGGTACTCAGTAAGTCCTAGGTATGCAAAGTTTTTGGTAAAGACATACAACCTCAGGTTGTATCAGGGGAACTTAGAAGACAATGGGATAAGTACGATAAGTTTCATTTCACCACACTCGGTATGGGATGGTTTCTCTGCTCTTTCAAATCGATGGAAGCAATGGAAGGCATTCTGACGGGAGGACCGTGGTTTGTGAACGAACACATAATCGGTATGGATCGCTGGACTCCAGAATTCTCATCATCTTCTATGAAAGGGCTTTCATCGCCCATTTGGATTCGAATGCCTCATCTACCGCTAAAATGTTGGGATGAAAAAAATATTGCAAAAATTACATCTAAAGTAGGAACACCTCTTATGCTAGATGGTAACTTGTTCCATTGGGTATGAACAGAATTTGCCAGAGCATGCATCTAAATCAAACTTGTTCAAAAACAGTCAGTTGGAGTGTGGGTGGAAAGTATGGGAGGAAGATACTTCCAAAAACTCGAGTATGAAAGAATATCAAGACTCTGTTTTGACTGCGATAAAATTGGACATATAAAAGGAGAATGCAAAAAATAGAATGCTGCTGAAATCATTAAGACTTCTGAAGAAATTTCTCAAGCTTCACAGAAGATGAAGACCGTGGAAGATAGCAGTACTTATGGCCCCTGGGTACTGGTGAATAACAAGAGAAAGAAGTAAAATTTTGCTCTCATTAAAGAGGTAACCAGAAAGACAGCTGCTAGAAACAATTCACACAAAAATATATGGAAAGCAACTACAGGTCTTGGGAATCCAAAAAAGACAGAAAAACAAAGCAACAAAATGTTGGAGTGACATTTAGTCAATGAAAATTGAGAAATAGAAGAAGGGTAAATTGTAAAAGGCAAAGTGAATTGTACAGAGCCGGAATGTAACGAACCAGCTGAACTTGATCAAAGTCACACAGAAGGTGAAACATCTGAAATTTTACAGGCTTCATGGGATTGTAAAATAGAGCAAGGAGCTTTGTCCATAAGCAACTCTTTTGAAATTATGGAAGAAAGTGTGGTAGATAATCCAGTGAATATAGTGAATGAAAGGTTTGAGAAACAAGATGAGACTAATGACAATACCAAATTGGTCAAGAATGTTGTACAAGAAAGCAAAAAATCTACAACCAAGGAACAGGGGGAAAGTAGCATCTTGATCAATAAAGTGTCTAACAGCAAAACTAAACCTGCCAAGGAAATGAAATTGCTAGGACCTATAAAAGGGAATCACAGAATGAGGAAAGGTGATGGAGGAGTAGAGAGGGCCGGGGCCTCAACCCCAAACCTAATTTAATGTCTTCAATCTTATTTTGGAATTGTATGAGAGAAAAGAAGAAAGAAGCCTCCAACTACTTAAGAAATATGGATGGAGAGAATGGACTATGTTTCATTGGTTTGATAGAAACCAAATTGGAAAAATTGGGAAGTGAAGAAGTCAAAAATCTGGTTGGGAACAAATGGGAGTCTTACCATGAGGCAGCTTCAGGAACTTCTGGAGGTATTCTAGTCCTCTGGAAATTCATAACAGTCTCATTTACTGTCATTGTCTCATTTAAACAATGCTTTATTGGCAATATTACCACTCCAAAAGGTATTATGGCCAAAATCTGTATTGTATATGGTAACAAAAACATATATAAAAGAAGGAAGCTTTGGAGTTTAATAGAAGAAAATATGAACTGCGAAGTGCCATGTTTAGTTGGAGGTGACTTCAACTGTCTAATGAACAAGAATGAGAATTGGAGGGAAGAGCTTTATATTATCTCAAGGTCCACAGGAAATGAAGGAATTTATGACTAATTATGACTTCCATGATATCAATTTTAATGTTCTAAACTTCACTTGGTGCAACAACAAAGAAGGCCTAGCAAGAATTTGGGAGAGGTTGGATAGAGTTTGGTTAAATTCCAAAGCTATGATAGAATTTTCTAATGCAGTGGTTAAGCATCTCCCTAGAATTTCTTCGGACCACTGTCCAATTCTTCTACAGATTGACAACAAGAAGCAGCATAACAATAGAGATTTCAGATTTGAGAACATGTGGTGTTCTTATGAGGCAGCAAAAGGCATCATAGCAAAATCTTGGAGGAAAAATGATTTTGTTAATTCTAATGATATTCTTGAAAGAAAAATTAAGAGGTCTCTCAAAAACCTTTACTTTTGGAGCAAAAAGAAATTGAAAGAACTAAATTTGAAGATACAAGAGTTGAAAAATGAGATTCTGCAGTTACAAGACAAAGAAGCAAAAGATGGAGGCATGAGCCACGAGAACCTTATTATTCTTCGTAGTAAGGTGATTGATTTCAATACAAACCTACCTAGAATTTCTACTTGGTGGAGACAAAGATCCATATGTTAGTGGATGGAAGAAGGTGAGAAGAACACTAAATACTACCATACATTTGTAACGGCTAAGAAAAGAAGCAACTGAATTTTACAAATTGAAAGGGAAGATGGATCACTGTAAACAAACCAAGAAGCTATTCATAATATTATGGAAAAATATTACTCAAAAAAATGGGGAAATCGAAAATGCTGTTTGGAGGATTGGCCTAAATTTAAAACTTTTGATTATATCCAGAAAGACAGTTTAAATATTTTGAAAGCTCATTATACCAAAGAAGAGCTGATATTGACGCTGGGGAAAATGGACAACAAAAAATCTCCTGAAGCTGATGGTGCCAACGCATGCTTTTTTAAAAATTACTGGAATATTATTGAAGAAGCAACTTGGAATGCAATTGATGAATTTTTCAAATCAGGAAGGATGCCCGAGCAATGGAAGGACACGGTGGCTGTGTTGATTCCAAAAGTTCAAAATGCTAAGGGATGCTCCAAATTTAGACCAATTTGCCTCTGCCAAATGGTCTACAAGCTAGCTGCAGGCATGATTCTTAAAAGATTCAAAAGTTGCCTCCCACAAGTAATATCTGACTATCAAGGGGCATTTGTTCCTGGAAGAAGCATTTCAGATAACTGCCTTATTTCTTAGGAAATCAAGAGCAAGATGAAATCGTCAGTGGCTAAACCGGGATATTTTGTCTTGAAGCTTGACATGGAAGAAGCATATGATAGCATGTGTTGGGAAACTCTAAACCAAGTATTGAAGCTCACTGGTTTTCCTGAGAAATTGATACAGTTGATTATGCAATGTGTATCTAATCCAAAATACTCTATAGTGATGAATGAAAAAATAACCAATTGGATCAATGCTCATTGCGACTTCAGATAGGGTTGTCCCATGTCGCCAAGTCTGTTTGTTTTATGTTCTGATCTTCTCTCCAAAGTTTTTCATGGTAAAAATGACAATTTGGGGATAAGATTAGCTACGAATATGGAGAAAGTAACACATCTAATCTTTGCAGATGATGCTCTTGTTGTAGCCGAGGCCTCTAGTAATAATGTTAGAACTTTGAAGAACATCCTCAAAAAATATTGTGGCTGGACAGGACAAGTAATAAACTCCAAAAAATCCACGGTCTTATATGGTAAAAAAGTATCCAGGAAAGAAGAAGCAAACTGAACAAATTCTTGGGATACAAAGAAGTCAAGGAACTCAGTTATTTGGGCATCAAATTGGCGTTGAGGAGACTTAAAACTGAAGATTTCAGCAACACTTTTAAAAAGGCTATGAGCAAACTTAATTCATAGGGAGCAAGATGGTTATCTTTGGCTGGCAGAATAATCCTCATCAAATCAGCCTACTCGAATATGATTTCTTATCAAGTAGCTCATTCACTTATTCCAAAAAGTATTTTGCTAAAAATTGACAAAATATGTAGAAATTTTTTGTGGCATAAAGAAAATTGAAATCAAGGCATGCACTACATTGCTTGTTCAAATCTTTGCCTTCCCACCTGTTTGGGAGGATTTGGCTTCGAAGGAGCATCAAAAAGGAAGGGACCTTTAAGAGAAAGAATGGCGTGGATGTATTTACAGAACAAATACTCATTTATCTGTAAAATTCTCAAAGGGAAATATGTTGACAAAATCTGGGAGGAAGGAATGAAGAGAGGATCTTCATCAGCTTGGAAATTTATCAAAGAAGGAATCAAGTTTTTGAAAACAATTGTAAGATGGGAAGTAAATAATGGTAATAGCATAAACATTACTAATGACAATTGGATCTTAGACCGAAACCTTAACACTTGGCAAGCAACGTGCAATGCTGCAGCTCTCTCAAAGAAAAAGGTATCTTTTCTTATGGATTAAGGCGGAAACTGGAATTTAGAGAAAATGGCTAATTTTTTCTCTAAAGATATGATAAATGTTATTCAACATATGGAAAAATGGGTGATTCCCATAGAAGACAAGTTAGAATTGATGTGTACCAATTCGGGGAAGACTATTTCATCTCTATGCGCTGAAGCCAATAACAGGAATCTTGAGAGCAATCTAAGCAAATTTACTTTGCTGAAAAAACTGATACTCAACCATAGAACAAATCTTTTCTGGTGGAGAGCGCTGAATGATGCATTACCAACTAACTCATGGTTATGTCATAGGAAATTAGCTAATAACTCAGCTTATCCTAGAGGATGCCAGATGAGGGAAGATATAGTGCATATTACTACTAAATGTTGTAAGCTAACTGAGATTATACTTAAACTGAGACATTGGGGATTCAACATCCCTTCCATTGAAAATCTTAATGAATGCATTGAAGAACTTAGTTCTAAAGCTGATAATGGCCTTGCAAAAATTTATGCAATGATTGTTTATTTTAGTTGGATGTCACCGAATCTAGGAAAACATGGAAAATCAAAACTTTCCCTTCCTTACACAGCAGCTGAAGTTACCTCTCTAACATCTTATCTTCAATCTGTTCCAACCGAGAAGAATTGGAGCACCAACCACCAATTGATGCACAAATCTTGGTGTCCCCCTCCTGATGGTTGGTTAAAGTTGAATGTAGATGCGACTTTGTTGAAATTGAACTCGGCGGGAATAGCAGGACTGCTTAGAGACATCAAAGGTTGAATGATATGCGCTTATGGAAAAAAGATGATACATTGGGACATTGCTCATCTGGAACTTAAAGCAATTCTCATGACATAAATCTATACTCAAGATTGGTTTTGTGAATACAAAGGTTTAATCATTGAAGGAGACAATGTGAATATCATAAAGATGCTCCAAGATTCTATAAGAATGAAGACTAATAAAGGTACGAAATTTGATCTCTCATTCCTACAAGTTTTCAATAATATTCGTATTCTCTATACTCCTAAAGAATATAATAAATTGGCCGATTATTGTGCCAAGCTTGCTTTGTTAGGTGATTTGTTTTGGGACTCCTTGGTTGAAACAGAACTTCCAACAAGTTTTTTACACTTTTTTAGGAAGGACTGTCATGGAGTCATCTTTTAGTTGCCTATTGTACTTCTTTCTTGAGTTTCATTAATGCAAGTTGCATCCTTTATTCAAAAAAAAAAAACCCTCCTCCAGATCATGGCCCCTCAAATTTCTAGGTGTACTTTATTATTATTTTTTCTACTGAGTTTTTGAGATTGATGTTATGATGTTTTCTTCTATGAGTGTTATGGTTATGTATGTTGTTAAGTCATTATGTGATGATATTGAATGTTGTTCTATGTGATATCATCGAAAATGGATGTATGTGATCTTTTATGGTATCAAAGAAAAATACTATGTCTTAAAGACAAGTTTTGATTTTTACTTCTTGAAATGTTAGTATCTCTAGTAAGAAAAACTTTTTGAAATTGATCTAAAATGGACTATAAATTATTTTTCTTTACAAATTAATTTCCATACAAATTTTTAAATTAAAATTATTACTAGATTTAGATAAGGACATCAATTTCATGCCTTTTAGAAAAAATATATCTAGAATATAATTGTTGCAAGATTGATGTCTTATTATTTTTTAGTTCTTTTTCAATATGTTTATTTTTGTTATTAGTGAAATTTGAATTTAGATTACTGATAATGAAAATACCAAAAAAATATAAAAAAAAATTACACAATGTGTGCAAAAGTTAAAATGTTGTGCAATGGTACGTAAAGTGAAAAGAAGCACCAAATTAGCTCAAAAAAAAAAGATGCACAAAGTGTACCAATAATATTTTGAAAACATGCACAATATTGCCAATTGAGTTTTTATTGTGTTCTTTTCACTATTATTCAATCTCTAAGCCAAATCAACCTGCCTAATAATTATATTCGATATTAAATTTGAAGTTAAATAATCTTCATTTCTTCATTTTTTCAATAATTATATTTATTTAATTTGTCTAGCTTGAAAAATGACTTTGATTAACTTTTCTTATGATAGTTGTTCTTTGATTTAAAATTTTAAAATTTTCCTTTTTAGTATTTTATAATTAATATTTTATTTATAATTGGTTTAAACCCCTTTTCTAGTTCAACTCTTTTGGTTTATTAAAACCTTTCATTTAAAGTAGTTCTTCCCTTTTTGTTATTATCAAAAGGTGGAGTAATAATATTGTTTGATTGATAGTTGTTATATGTGTTGTTTGATATGTGTATGTTTTAAATGCATTTGTGAATGTGTTAAATGTTTGAATGTTTGTGCATGTTTGTGTTTTTCTTAGAATTGTTTTTTATTTGATTTAGTTTTTTTTTTGGTTTGTTATTTTTTTATCTTCATAAAAATCCCTTGATTTAAATTAGTCATTTATTTAGGAGGAGCAAAGATGAATATCATGTTTTAAATGATTAACTCAAATAATAATTGTTTTGTCATCATAAAAGAAGGAGAGATTATTATAACTTAGTTTTCATAACTGAGTTTTCAAATCATGTGTGTTTTTTATGATTTCAAAATATTATTATATTTATTAATATTTCTTCAAACATATATTAAAAATATTGTTTGTGTTTACTAACATTTCAGGGAAATCATATACTAGATAATAGAAGACTTCAAGATAGATTAGACTAGGATTAATTATATTTCAAGTCTATATTTTTTATACTTTTCTTGAGTCTGAGATAGTGTAATTGTAATTGGGTAACTATGTACACACACATTGGGAGAGTGTAAAAACTTCTAACTTTTTAAAACTAATCATACTGTACGATTATAGATAGTACTAGAAGATTTGGTGTGAGCATTTGTTTAGAAGCATTTAATCAAATCATGGATGGAAAAATTTCTAAGTATTATTCATACTATACGAAGTTGCCATCGTACAGATGATGTCCACAATATAAAATTGATGTGAATATTTTCATCCATACAAACAAGAAAAATTTTTAAATTATTTGTCCTGGACAAACAAGGGTTCGTGCAAATGAAGTCCAGAGTATGAAATTGAGATGTACATTTTTATTCATATGGACAGGTAAATTTTTTGAACTATTCGTACTGTACGAAGTTGCCTTCCTACAAATAACATCTAGAGTACAAAATTGATGGGTACATTTTTGTTAATACAAACAGGTAAATTTTTTGAACTTTTCATTCTTGATAAACTTGGGTTCGTATAGATGACATTCATAAAACAAAATTCCTTGGTTCATTTTCGTCTATACAAAACATGGTATGATTAAAGCAAATCATATTGTACGATATAAGTTCATATAAATTACTTTCTATGTACGAATTTTGATCATATAGGATCGTATGATCGAACTTTTAACTAATCATACATACGATCATTGATCATACATACGATCATTGATCGTATTGTACGTTCATGGAAAGTCAAAATTGAATATTTTTTTTTGGTCGGTTTTTTGTCCCTTTCCTATATAATGTCCTTAGAAACTATTTTGGATGAATCTATTCTTCATGATTTCTTTAAGATTGGGTGAAAGGGAGATTTGGGAGAGTGTTTATGAGATAATTCTTACAAGTGAACTGTAAAGGATTCACAAGATTACTCGAAGGTGAGATTCTCTTTGTTTGGGCTTTCAATTCTCTTCAATACTTCTTTCAATTTGCTCGAGAGAAGATCTTTGGGGAAGATCTAGTACTCTTCCGACACTTGGAGAATGTGTAAGGAT